TGATTGTCCTCTCACAAAATAACTACAAGCCTCAAGGGCGCTGGGCTCAGAGTGACAATTCTGATGTCCTTCGGAATTTCCTGAACAGTAATGATTTGAGTTACTGCGGTACCCCATGCCAAGCAGAGAATTCCTTGCTAGATGACACGGCAGACCTTGAATGTGTGGAGCCAAAGAGTTTCCAGCAAATGTTGGAGGTAAGTGACACCAGTGAACCAGGCCTTTTGTCTGGGGAAACTTGTCTGATTGTCTTATGAATTCTGTATGTTGCTCCTAAGTCCACTGACAGTCACCGCTCACTGCGGGGAGACGATCGGGAAGTGAGCAGATCGGCAGCATGTTTCTGCTCACTTCCCGATCGATAGAGCTGACCTGTGGTTTTCAGGAAATTCCAAAATTGAATGTTAAAATCACATGGAATTTCGAATGATAATGGTCGGCGCCAATTACGTTATCGAAAGTTCTGATCTGATATTTCGTATGAACTTTTGTACGAAATTCTAACCTTGCTTAGAGACCGCTTTGAGCTTTGTTCTGTCTTGGAATAGCTGGACAGTTAGTAGGATACATGGAAGATTTCTCTGGCCTGTGTATTACTTTTAATGTACTTGGGGAATACGGGTGTTGAAGACGTGCTTATAGATTGTTGTATCCATGCTGTTACTTTTCAATAGGATGAATTTTCAAAGTAATTATTGCAAAACTTATTTGCAAATAATTGTTCCTTGTCTCTCAGCAATCCGAGGAAAGAAATGAGGGCTATAGCAATGGGACACTTATCACGGACATGTCCGCCGCTCTAGAAGATATAGATGCTCTGGCCAATGATTCGAATGGTATATTTTACCCTCCATCCCTGCAGACGTCCCAGGAGGAGGAAAGGTAAAGGAAAGCAGACCTTGTACGTCTGCCAGGTTAGAATTATCAGACATTTGCTCGGATTCTGCTATGGGGGAGATTGCAGCTGAACACAGCAACTTGGTGTAAGATTTGTTTCATTTTATTAAAGCAGAACTGCGGGCAGCTATTAAGGACCCAGATTAATGCAGCTCTATATTTATCAATGCTTCGTTAGATGTTTTTTTCTGAAATTATAACTAAAGGCAAAAGCTTTATAAATGTAAATATTCACGCTTGTGGATGTCCCCCCTTTTAATTATAAATAACTGACAGCTGTAGCGAAAGACCGACAAAGCCAAAAGCAATGTGGCAAAGAGTGTTAAACCAATACACCGCGCTATCTCCCCTTATTGTGAAACAATTGAATATAACCCATAAGTCTCCAAATAGACAATAAAACACACCTGTGTGTGTATACCACTGTATATCAAGCGTACACATAAAATACAATAAGTATGGTGCACAAAATATTGAACAATGTGAAGTAATGTGTGACTCATTAATATTGTTTCACAATAAGGGGAGATAGCGCAATGTATTGGTTTAACACAAAGGCAAAAGCTGGCCACAGTAACCAGTGATCTTCAAACTGTCATTTCTGCAGCGAGGCTTCCAAACGAAGTAAGAAATCTGATTGATTTGTTTTCTAGAAGTAAAAAGGAAAATGTCTTTGTGGCATACTTTCCGAACATGAACCTCTTATGCGCCCCTTGTATGCAGTCTTTATTACACTTATGCAGATCGTGTTTTGTATTCCTCCAGTGACTTTGCTATTGAAGAGCGCACGTTTAACAAAGGACACGACGCAAACATTAATGAACTGTTATCGGCTTGTGAACCAGGTAACTGCAATGAATATGTGTAAAGTTGGGTATATTGTCTTTGTTCAGCCTGCGGGCTGATTGAATGAAACATAAGCAATTCCTGTTCAGCGTGGATGGACAAATTCAACATTGTTTCTATTGTATTCGGACAGCCACCTCCAGCCGCTGTCAGAATACAGAAATGGTGCTTGCGGCTGATTTGCCTTCAAACAACCTTCGGCTGAAGTTCATCCAACATGTTCCTTCAGCAACAGTTTATCTAAAGATCAACTTTAGATGCCGATGGCAGAGTGTACACATGGAGCAAATTTTGGCTGATTCTTGTTGAATTGGCCGAAATTCACTTTGGGTGTACCCTACTTTATGCTAGCCATTCATTTAAGAGCACATTCACACATAGACCCTTATAGATTCCTTACAGATTTCCTTCCCTTGTAGATCTGTACAGATTCAGATGTATGTCCCCGGTTGCAGACAGTGAATGTGGTCCATCAGGATTGCCCTCTTCCCTTTTTTTTTTTTCCTTTAACCTTTTTAAGGAGTTAAGATCTATGTTTGTCCCAAGCATGTTTAATGTCACCTATTGTTCACTCATTACCTCTGCTGGAAGTCTGTTCCCAGCATCAACTACTTTCAGTAAACTAATACTTTCTAAGATTGATTTTGAACTGTCCTGTTAGTTTGAGGTTATGTGCCCGAGTTCTTCATTTTCGCTTCATATTGAAAATTCTGCTGTTCTGAACCTTATTCACCCCCTTCATGTATTTATTTATCTCAGTCCTGCCCCCTCCCATTTCCCTTTTTAAATCAAGACTTCAAGGATGTACATATTAAGTTCCTGCAGTCTCTCCTGGGTTTATTCCCTTAGACATTTCACCATTTTTGTTGCCCGACTCTGGACTCGTCATGGACTCTTCCTATCTTACCAATATTTTTTAGTAAGTGATGTCTCCAGAACTGGTCCCAGTATTCTAAATGAGGTCGAACTGAAGATCTACATAGGGGAATCAGGACCTCCTTCCTCCTGCTGGGGATCCCTCTAGTGATGCACTCTAGAATTCCATTAGCTTTCCCCACCGCCCCACTGTCTGCACAGTTTTATCGGTCACATGGCTGCTGAATAAATTGATCATTATTTGATTAATTGATTATATTATTTATTAGCTTTTTTTTCCCGTAATGGCATTAACTTGCACTACAGACTGAATATTTTTAATTACTTAAACTAATAGGTTCCCCTATATACTTTAATGAGTAGTCAAAACAAAATATATGTAGGGTTTTGTTTTATATAATAATTAGAAGTTAATACAAATTACATTTTTTTTTACATTTTTGACAGATGAAGACTCCCTGCCTTCTGGGAATGGCTCTGACCTGGATGAGAACGATGCGGAAGAGAATTTCCAACCGGAGACTCCAGAAGAGTCCTTCATTATGAAGCATTTCGACACCTTAACAGATGAGCTTGCAGAAGGTGATTTAGTTTTTCTTCTTTCTGTACATGTGAAGTGGAGAGTGCATAACTTTCTAAACAATGAGTCCTTTTTTTTTCTTTTTTTGTAAATCAATGCATTTATTTTAAAGAACTAAAGGATAAAGTGGGGAAAAGTTATAACCTCAGTCAAGTTTTTATTGCTATTTGCATCCTGATTGGAGAGATTTCCTATCCCTGCCTGTCCTTGTGACTCTCCCACTCTATATCCCTGCCTTCTCTGCACCGTTCCACTCCTCCCGCCCTCTGCTCCACCCCTCCTCCCGCCCTCTTCTTCTTTTTTCTCTTTCCTTTCTCCTCTCCCCACCTCCCCTTTCTTCTCTTCTTCCCTCTCTCCTCCATTGTACCCTCCCTTGCAGCTGGCTTAAAAATGTGATGTTCAAATACATTTTGTGTCCTTCTACAGAAAAATTTGACAACTCGTTGAAAGATCTGATGCCCAGTGAGGATGACACTGATCTGTTTCTAAATCATCGCCTGAGTTTCTCTGCCAAATTTATGTCCCGAAGCCACAGGTACGACCGGTAAGACATTGTTGTGTGTGTGGCTGATATCTTATCTCTGTCCTTGTTAACGTTGACCTGAATTAGAAAAGAAAAGATCTCTTATCTTATAGGAAACATTACGATATGTAGTATACATAGTACTGTAGTAGTGCATTTCCTGTGCCTTGAGCTTCATAACTGTATATCTGCAGTCAGAGATCATCTAAGGCAATTATAAGCTGATGCTTTGTTCATGAATTTATAACTGTCCTTATACTAAGTCATGTTCTCTCCTTTTTCAGACTAGAAAGTTTACTTCCACCCGAGATACCGCAGGTGGTGCTAGATAGAGAGACAACAGTGGAATCAACGAAACCACCACTTTGCCGGAAACTCTCCGATGTAAGAAGAAATAACATAATCGAACAATGCAAGCTAATATGGGACAAGATGTGTCCAACTTACTAAATGAACAGAGATGTATTTATTGTACTTCCAATGCTGAAAGTTTGTCTGGGCATATAATAATAAAAAACATATGCAGTATATCTCTGCAATACATCTACATTTACCAATGTTTTGTCTTGTTAAAAACTCTCCAAGTGCATTATTATACAGGATTTAAATAGCGCCAACAGTTTTACAAAATGGAGGGAGGCAGTACAGTTACAATAAAATCTCAGTACAATAGGGTTAGAGCTTACAATCTAGTAGAGTACATTATTGTACATGTTGATCCGGCAAAAAATCCAGTAAGCTCCTAACTTCACTACACTGAAAACCCCTGCGGTGTTGTCAGCCCTGCCTGAGTTCTCCCTGCTGTATTCCAGAACATGTTCCCCTTAGGCTATGAAGCGATGAAGCTCTTTTCTAGTCCAGCAGAGGTGGATTGTGTAGGGCCTACATTATTGTATGTGTGTGTGTATAGTGTTGTCTGGGCTATATATATATATATATCTAAGCATAATGATGAGCATATATGATGAGCATATATATGATGAGCATAATGATGAGCATATATATATATATATATAGCCCAGACAACACTTTGCCATCCTTTCCTACAGCCTAATTCACAACTTTGCACTGAATATTTGCATCGATGTGCATGATGTTATGGCGAAAACATTTTGAGTAATGGGCTCGGTGAATGCTACACTTTGCTTTTGCACTTATTGATGTTACAAACAGGATTTTATTTGGAGTATCTCCCGATCCCCTTATTCAGTAATCCTTTACTTTATGAATAATCCATGCAAGTTGTTTGTACAGTATATATGGAACACAATGAAGACACATTTTTGTTTTTTCTAGAAAGCAGTGGAAAAAACAACCCATGGACAGGAAAGGAGAAAATCTTCAACCAGTGCTGGTAAGTTTCCTATTCTTAACCAAGATCTTCAGTAAGTAAATGGAAAGATTATTATGACAGTGAAAGGACTGATGCCAACAGACTGCAGTGGAGCTTCTTTTAATAAAAGCAGCTGTCCATAATGTTATATAATATGCTGAGCTTTAAAGATGGGAAAAGGCATAGTTGGACTTGGTATCAAAATGTAGTAAATATTTAGACTGATGTGTTGTATAGGCACACGATGAAGGTGCACAAGTATGCACCTTGGTCCGCATATACAGTGTGTATGTATGTGCATTTCTTTTCTCTGTAGTGTCATTTGTAAATGCTTTGTATGATGTAGGTCGTTCACTTGTGTCCTGGTTCCCAATCCACCTAAACCATATTTTATAGAAATGTTTTTGGCTGTTCCCTCACTTCATAAGTAAGTTTAGAGAGTAGGACGGCGTTCTACACCAAATCCTTCCAGTCCCTCAAGCATAATGATGAGCATAATGTATCCTTTTAAGTGCAATTTAGCTTTTTAGCATAAATATAGCAATCTTAAAATGGAACTAAACTTGAAAAACAAAATGTGGGGAGGGACTTAACTGCAGCAGAGACATTTAATCAAACAAACTTACCTGGCTGTTATGTCATCTACTTTATTAAGTTCCACTAAGAAAGGTTTCAGTACCCTGATCCATCAATGATGTCCAACAAAAACATAGTTGGATTACAAATGTTAGAAAGAGAGAAGCTATTGGGTATGAAATCGATCCCTTCTGTCCAGAATGGTCTTATTTATAGTTGACAGAGCTCAATTGTATCCTCTATAACAGTATCAAGGTAAGTTTGTAAGGCTTCATTTATCCTCATGTTGGGGGTCTCCAAATATTTATGATCTATACTACATTTTGCTACCATGCCAAAGCTGTAATAAAAGAGTGTGCATACTTCCCTTTCCAGCAGTCCATGTTTCAGACTTCACCAATTTGCTGCTTCCTGGAAGCTGTAGGAATCTAGCAACCTCAGGGTTTGCTGCTCCCTCTCTGCTCTTCTTGCTGGGTCTTGCATCACTAAGGGATGCACGAGCCTGCAGGAGGAACAAAGAGCTTCATGGGGACTTAAGGGTCAGACTGAAGACTAACATGAATTTTTGAGGCTTGCAATTCAACATTGTTGTCACCTTAAACACTGTTATGCCAGGTGAAGATCACTTCATATATGCACGTCTGTTCTGTCTTCCCTTGATTTTTTTTCTTTTTTTTTTTTTTTAAATCAATATATGCAGATATTGCTATTTTGGCCCCAAATTTACAGAAAGTTCATGATAAATCTGCCTCTCGATCCTCATTCCCTGGATGCTGGCCAAATAAGAACAATTCATTAAGTAAGTCCAACAAAGGGCCATCTTACATGGAAGCCACGGCTAGCTCAAAGGCAAAAATAGCCAGAAGTACATCAATGGGAGAAGGCATTAATGCAGGGGAAGAACCAAAAAAACTGTCCAATTTATTCCGACCACTCTCCACCAGTGACTTGCCATCAGAAAATGATAAGCTTAAAGCCTCAGAGGTAAGTGTCAGCAAACCCCTTCCTTCTGTTGCACCCTGTGAACCGGTCCCATCAGGACAGCAAGAAGCCAAGACTAAGTCTATGGCCACTTCTAATTCATTATCGGACAAATTTTTGATGCCACCTCCAACAACATACGGAGTTATCCCACGCCTAAAGAAAAAAGCCAAGTCTGTCAATAATCTGCCTAAGACCACTCGAAAAGAGGAGCTCAATGCCACTGTGGTAAAGTCGAAAGCATCAGATGCTCAGAAGAGTGAAATTACTACTGATCTTCAGGATAGGAGAAACTCAACATCTTCACCAACCTACAGAGCACCAGATGTCCATGATGTACCCAGAAGAGCTTCTATAGCTGAGTGTCCAGTTGGTACACCTCAAAGCATCTCTCCCACCAACAAAAGCAGCGAAAAAGGTCGTTCTCCAACCCGTCGCCTGTCTACTTCACCAACACCTTGTTCCAACCATGTAGAAGAGTCTAGTAAGTAAATGCCTTTGTTTTATCTACTTTAAATATTTTTAGGATTTTTCAACCAGACAGAGAGAAAAGAGATGTGAATGGTAGGGAAAGACACAGATAAAGAATACAATGAGCTTAACTCCAGTTACAAAAGAAAAAAAAAAAGTGTATTGCCTGGCAGGAGATAAAAATGCAGCTTACCACCTCTCCAGTGATTACCCGCTGAAGCTCAGCTCTGTCCTGTTGCTACCACCTGGTCTTCCAAGTTGGCACCCATCATCATGAAGCCCACTTCCCTGTGAGGTCAGGTTGTCGTGGAGATAACCCCGGGGTTGCTGCAGCATACCACCTTGGTCTCACAGTACATTGAGTTGGGCTTTAAAAGGTAAATAATGTTATCATCAATTCCAGGTACTGTTTGTATGACTTATTAGTCAATCTTTCATTGCAGGGCATCCTCAAAATCTGGACCCCTGTAGAATGCAAATTTCTTTTCCCCAAATTTTCACTGAAAAATGCTTGCAGCGTGTATCTCGGTGTATAGCTTCAACAACTATTGAATGGTGGAATTGCATTTGGGATGTGCTGGGGAATGTTCATCAATGCTGACTTTTCTGAAACCCAAGGTAGCATAATGTAGGTGACTGAGTAAAACTCCTGGGAAGTCCTACCTAATGGCACTTGGTATTGCCTAGTATGCAGTGACAGTTTGCTTTAGGGATGCACCAATACCTTTTTTTGCAGACCGAGTACCGATACCTTTCCTCAAGTACTCACTGATGCATTTCTTTTTTAGTGTCATGTGACAGTTTTTTCTAAAACAATACAGACTAATGATTTTAGAATAGTGGTGGAGCACCAGGGCCCGGTCACAGCTGCAAACGCTGCAACCCTGGAAGTTCCGCCACTGACTCCAAGCTGTAGAGGGACTACAAATTTCAGCAGTACATTGTACAGCAATGTAGAATAATTTGAAGCTACATAGTTGGTGTTGCTCACCAGGGCTGTGCGCGCTGTCTGACCAGGGTTGAGTGGGGTCTTGCGGGTGCTGGGAAGGAGGAGGTGGAAGATGTGCAGGCCGCCGCTGTTGCCACGAGGTCCCCAGCAAGCATGGGATCTTACGGTAGCCGAATGTATTAAAAAAATGTAAAGGGCCAGTATCGGGGCATTTTCACGAGTACTAGTATTGGTGCATCCCTAGTTTGCTTTGAATATAACGTTCATGCAAATTTGACATCATACTTTAAATCTTATTAGGCTGACAATTGGACACTTCAAAGGGCTTGAAATGTTTAAGAGTTTATTACAGTATATAGTAGGGTTGCACAGATACCAAGTACAGTACTCGGTACAAGTACGAGTACATGTACCGATACTTTTGAGCACCAAGACTACACTAGAGAAAAATTCAAAAGTTAGGAGGCAGCTGTCATTTGTAAGGAGCACACGGAGCTCCTGGGATTTGGACATCTCTGTTTTAATGTATGATTTTGTTTTAATAAATATAAATAAAGGGATGCACCGATACCAGTTTTGCGAGTACGAGTACTGGTACTTGCCGAGTACTTACAAGTACGAGTACTGATACATTTTTGTTTATTGTCATGTGACAGTTTTTCTAAAACAATATCGACTAATGATTTCAGGACAGTGGTGGAGTGCCAGAGCCAGGTCCCAGCTGCAACCGCTGCAACCCTGGTAGTTCTCATGAAAATGCCAAGTATCTGCACTGGTACTCGAAAAGTATCTGTGCATCCCTAGTATATGGAGTTTATTACAGTTATCTATACATAGCATGCTTACCAATATTCTATACAGTAATATACTTGCTTTTTTTAGAGACTTATTTTGTATAAACTCTGCTGTATAATGCTGACTGTGCGTTATATTATAATCCTAGTCTAACAGTGCGGACTTCAATAATTCCTGTTCTGTTTAGGTTCAATGTTTTGTGCGGTAGTTGCAGAATGTTTTGGTGCATGTATCAAGTTATTGTTAAAATATGTTATTTTGACTGGATGTTTTTAGACAATTCCTCCTTGGGTATGAAGGATCTGATGGGAGAGTGTGAGCAGGTGATTGAGGAATTGCACAGCACTTTTCAGAAGACGTTAAGGACTTTTAAAGAGGTAAATATGTTCACGTGTGAATTTTCTTCATTATCACATTCAAGGGTTTCTATAGTGTGTGGCTATTAAGGGTACACAATAACAGAACTATAAAAAAATAATAATTATGTCTGACACTACTAGTTCAGTTGCTTGGAGCATCTTTAACTGGTCATGGAGACAGACTTGCCTGTCTCTGGTGTGAATCTTCAGTCCAGAAGCTGTTCAAGCTCTGCTTCCTCCTGTGAGTCTTGGGGCTGATTGTAGCGTCCTTTTTGATGTGGTTCCATTTGCCCAGTTTTACTCCAGACATCTGCAACACAATATTCTGTCATCGTGGGACAAATCAGTCCTGTCTCTGGATAAGCTGACTCAGTTAACACCAAAGATCTCGTTGTCGCTGCCTTAGTGGCTCAGGAATTTTCCTCTAGAGTCAGGGGAAGCCCTTTCTTCCCATGCTTTGGAAGATGGGTACGATGCTCTCTGTGGGGCTAGGGGGAAGTCATGGGTACCTTTTCGATTGCAACCGACTTGTTTGGAGGATACTTGTCTCCTGATAAACATCTTCAAGGTTCGGGCGATTCGATTGTTCTTTCTGGGTTGAACCAACCTGCTGGAGCACCACCCGATCTGAATTCAGTCAGGCAACGCCACAGTGGAGGGGTACATTAATCATTAGGGTGCTATGGCAAAAGAGTTAGAGCAGGTCTTGTCTTGGGCATAACTTCACGTACCAGCCTTGTGAGCTGTATTTATTCCAGGCTTAGACAATAGGCAGGCAGATTGCCTCAGCAAGCAGCATCTGGAAATGGTAAAGTGGTCTCTACACTTGGAGGTGTTGAAAAGCTGGATGTGGACCTCCCTGGCCTCTAGGTTCAAGAACAAACTGGTGAAGTTTGTATCCAGATCCAGGTATCCACTGGCAGAAGCCAGTCCCAAGGTCTGATTTACCACCCTACTTCTCAGTTGCTGGCATTCACTGAATGGCTTGTGAAGGCCGCTTTCTAAGGGACAAGGGGCATCTGAGTCTAATTTCTACAATGCTCAAGGCTAAGAAGTCCACTTCCCACAAGGTCTATCATTGGGCATGAAAGGCATGCTTCACTTGGTGTTAATCTAGGGGTTTTCATCCCAGGAGCTTTGTGGGAAGAATCCTCCCCTATCTGCAGTTGGGACTGCACCAGCTTTGGCTCTCCGCATCATCAAAGGTAAAACCTCTACTCTTTCCATTCTGCTTCAAAGACCATTGGTCTCTTCCTATTAGACATTCATCTCTCTTGTCACCCACAAGTTTTTGCTTTCCTTTGTTGCTATCACCCTTTCAAGGCCAGTGTTTGGACTGGCGGCCTTGTTTTGCAAAGAACCCTTTTTTGCATAAAGACAAGGTGGTGTTGAGACCTAGGACTTGCTTTTTGCATCAGGTAGTCTTTGTCTTTCACCTTTTATCACCTTTTAACAGGACATTGTTCTCCTATCCCGTTGCCCAGCTCAGGTCCATCGAGAGGAAATGTACCTTCATTGTCCGGATGTGGTTCAGTCTATCCCTCAACCAATGCTTCTTTTAAAATTAAAGATTATCTTTTTGCCATTCCCGAAAGGATGCCTCTCTTTTTCTGTTCATTCCACTAGGTCTGTAAGGGCCTCCTGGGCTTTTCGGCATCAGCCACCTGCTCTTCTGTTTACACGTTATCTAAGTTCTACCAGATGGACGTTTCTGCCTCCTGAGGCCAGCATCCGGTATAAGGTCCTTCAGGTGTCTCTTTGAGCTGCAGGCAGTCCGTGGTTTCTGTTGTTTACACTGGGCCTGTTAGCGATTGGTTTGCTGAGTAGCCCACCCCTCAGTTAGACTCCTAAAGATTTAAGATTTTCCCTGGAAAATTAGGCTTTTTGTAATCTCTGTGAAATCCTTCTCTTGGGACAGAGGTCTGCTAGACCGGTCCCCACAGCCTCTCTCCCCACTGCAAGGGTTAATTTTTCCTATTCTTTAACTTTAGACTAACCATAGCTTCACCAATGGTTAACTAATACATTTGCGGGGTACTGGCTAACATTTTAAAAACAAATGAAATATCTAATCTTGGGAACTTCTAATAGAACAAATACATCCAACATGTTTTAACCTCCTTAATTTATGTATTTTATTTTGTCTTGAAGATTGAAAGCTGCGTTGGATCAAATGAAGAAAAGTCACATCTGAAATCCTTATTCCTTAATGCCTTCGTCCATATTCAAAGCGAGATGGAGTTGTTGGAAATCGGCCACAGAATGGCGCCAAATGACAAGCTGAACACCGAAAACAATGCATCTCTTCACTTGCTAGAACATTATTCAGAAATGATGCTGCAGATAATGAGGGAAAAGATTAACAGCACCGCACTGTGACACTTTTCAGGAAGCCTGGATTCAAAATGTTGGTCATAAGGACTGCGTCTCATGTGACCATTCATTGTTAATACTGTGGCACTCAACACAGTCATTGTATTCTTAAAGGGTCTACTTACTACAACTGAGAAGTTTCAGAATGTTGAATTGTCTAACAAATTTTATTATCTCTTGGATTCTAGTGAAATGGATTGCTAGTCCCACTCACCAGCTGTGGCCATTTCCAAGGGCTTTGTCCCCCCTGGTAGTTTTAAACTAATGTTTTATGTTGTACTCTGGGCTGGTATCCACATTGTAGAAAGGGGATGTTTCACCCCTTTGGCTTCAACACAACTGAAATGAGTTTTTTGTACTGACTGACTCCTTAATGACTTTGCACATTTGTTATATTTATATGTTCTCTGTTTCGCTCATTTATTGTAAAACTAACATGACTGCGTGCCAGCACTGTTCATAGAGGCCTGTGTTTTTTTTTTTTTCATATCAGTCGATTTCAGTATTTGTTGCCACTTCCTTTTAATTGTAGTCCAATCACCATACAGAAGCTCTGTTTTTCGTATCACATTTTGATTTGATACCTGAAACCTTGCTTTCACTCTTTCTATTTGGCCTTGTCTCTTCCCTGTTTAATGTTCTGCTTTCCATCACGGCGGCCTGTCAGTTCCTGTATGTCATCTATCCACCATGTTCTTATTTTTACCTACTTTTACCTTGCTCTCTTCAACAATATTGCATTGCTTCTGTCTAACTGGGTTTCCTGTGATATGGCCAAAAAATGTTCTTCAATATTATTTCCAGCAGATGTGGTTTTGCTTCATTGACTTTTTGAAGCACCTATTCATTTGTGACCGTGTCTGACCATCTGATTTTCAAGATCCTCCTGTAGCACTACAGCTCAAAACCTCTGCTCTTTGCACTGCTGTTAAAATAAACGTAATGAATTCTGTCATTGCTGGCCGCCTTCTGTCAATGCTCAGTTTCTAGGGCCTTATGTTGATCCATTGGGGTTGATTTACTAAAGGCAAATAGGCTGTTCAGATTGTAAGGGAATTTGCACTTTGCAGGGGAAGTTACCAATTAGCTTGGTGAAATTTAAGTTTGCAAAGAATAGCCAATCGTGTAAAGAAAATAAATACAACTATTTTTGATTTGCACATGATTGGGTGATGGAAGTCAGTAATTTCCGTTGCTGAGAGTGCTGTACAAAGTTGTGTGTGATAGAAGTCAGTAGCACTTCCCCACATTCACAAAACTAAGTGGAAACTTCCCATGCAAAGTGAACAGACTATTTTGCCTTTAGTAAATCGCCCCTATTGACGTCATAGTTCCCAAGCCATTGGCCTAGTAGAATTATGGCTTTCCTGGTCTGCATGAGCATTCCCAGGTCATTGAATGTATTAAAGACATAGACACCAATAAAAGCTGTATTCTTTGATGTCGGCAATGGCAACTATGTTAAAAAAAAAAAAAGAAGCCCCATGCTCAGAGAACAAAATTGAATTTGAGGATTTCTCTAAATTCTTAATGCCACCCCCTCCCCCATCAAGGATTTAATGTTCTTTAGGGGATAAGATACCAGTATAACTTATTTTCTTTTAATCCAGCGTACATAAGTAGCCAGCACTTTCATCCCTTTCCTCTTTAGCACTATCATCACCTACAATGCAGGACCAGCTCCAGCTTGCATTGTACATGAGAACATCGGTGGGAGGGGCAGTGACAACACTAGTTGATAAACAGCTTTTGGGGACAAGTTGTCACAACTGGACCTGGCTCTGAAATCCACTGGACTCTGGATTAAGTAAGTAATACTCTGTTTTATATCATTCCCAAAACTAGCAATAAATCCTTTTATCAGCTAAAATGCAGGTACCCCATAACAAAAAAATAGTAAATCCCCAAATTTGGGCTTTACATTTACCCAATCTGAATCACAAAGGTCTGCAATTTTAGTGGGGTGTAATAACTATACCTGGTTTTACTGTAATGTTACATTGTTATAAATGTTTTGCTTGTTTTTAAATGTACTTTCACCTGAAAATACAGCCAAAACAGGTTAATGTTTTATCTTTATGCCATTTTGTCTTGTTTGATGGTTATTTTGTGGTGATATTAAAATAACGCTGAGAAGTTGAATGTTACCTTTGTGCACAGAATATTTTATCCTTATCTGATGTTTAAAGCAGACCTTTGCATTGGTAAATACCAATAAACAAGCATTGCTGCTGGAAAGAAGGCATTGCAAGCTAACAATATCATACCTTTTGAGTCCCCGGGGTCTGTCATGAACCCTTTTTGTGAAGTTTTTACATGTAACTATTCTTAAACTAAGAAAGAGATTTTACATAGTATTTGAGGTTGAATAAAGACATAAGTCCATCAAGTCCAACCTATTGGGTGTATGCATTTATGAGCTGGTGTGTGCGTGTATATGAGTCCATGTGTGATTTTTCTCTTAGCAGTACCTGTACCCCTTTTATGTTACGGTCTTCAAGGAACTCGTCCAGGAGTTTCTTGAATGATTCCACACTCTTAGCTGAAATCACTTCCTGCGGCAGCGAGTTCCAGACCCTAACCGCTCTAACTGTGAAGAACCCCTTGCGCCCTGTATGTTGAAATTGTTTTTTCCACCAATTTTTAGCCCTCTGGTTTTTGTTACAGAGCTAACCGTAAACAGTTTGTTACTAAGGTTGCTGTCACCCTTGAATAGTTTATACATGAAAATTATGTCCCCCCTTAATCTCCTAACCTCCAACGAGAACATATTTAATTTTAACAACCTTGTTTTATAGTTCAGGTCCTCGAACCCCTTAATGAGTTTAGTTGCCCTCCTCTGGACTTTTTCCAGCTCAAGGACATCCTTTCTGAGTATCGGTGACCAAAACTGGACCGCATACTCCAGATGTGGCCGAACCAGCGATCTATAAAGTGACACAGTTATAGACTTGTCCCTGCAAGACATTCCCTTCTTAATACAGCACAGGACTCTACTTGCTTTGTTTACAGCAGTCTGGCACTGCAAGCTGTTATTCAATCTGCGGTCTATAATGATCTATAATCATTATAGACTGCACTAGCATAAACACAACCGTTTTATTGCTTTTCTTTGTTTCCCTCTAACAGTCTCTTTCTTGTTTGAGGGCCCATTCATACCACATACCACATCCAGATCAGACCAGATTGTTCCAGACCCAAAATGTATCTTAATGTATCCCTATGCTATTTCTGGCCACACCAGTGAAGTCTGTTCCAGACCAGAAAAATACTGCATGTCTCATTTTGTCTGGTCTGGAATGCACTGTGGGCAGGTTCACACCATTTTCCGGACCAGATCTGGTCCAGAAAATGGTATGAACCTGTCCTGAGGGTCAAAAGAAGTAATAAACTTTCAGGTTATACTGCCGCATACAGGAGGATTGAACACTGGCAAACAAAAAAACTAGGCCAGCCCACAACCTGATTGGTTGCCATGCACAGTTGCTCCAGATTTTGATTAATTCCCTTCACTGGGAGAAAGTCTGTTGTAATAGCTACTATATTTACACACTAACCTCCTGGCTGTCATTTGAACAGCCAGGAATTTCCAACAAATGCTAGGGGGAGCCAGCAGTGAAGGAGGACAGGGTGTACTACACACATGGATGTTTTTTTGGGGGAGTGTGTCACATGTACACACTGGTTAAAATAGCTTTTTTTGAACTTTAAATGTTAAATATATATTTCTTGCTAGTGATTTGTACATTTAAAGAAATGCAATGCCCTAGAATATTATATATTATTAATGGGGCAGAAGGGAGCAAGGAGCTGCAGTCACCAAAAAAAACTTTAAAGCTGAAATACAAGCTCCAGAAAGTGTTGCCATTGCAGTGGGGCCCCCTGTGCAATGCAAGGGTTAAATGACGGTTTTGGCTAGGGGCTGAGGAATAACTTGAATTAGTTGCCTTATTTCTTGCTCTCCTCCACTGTCCAACACTCCCAGTATGTGGGTGGCTCCCCAGCTTCCTCACGTACAAAGCAGGACTATGTGGTGGGTTGCGACCGGTCAGAGAAGAAGACCGGCTGCCAGGTACCAGTTTTACAAAAAGGAGGAAGCCTGGTGGAGCAAGGAAAAATGTAAGTATTTCTCCTTATTCCAATCCCCCCTTAGATAAAACAAGCCTTTAACCATTGCAGTGTGGAGGGGCCCCACTGCAAGGGTAGTGTCTTCTTCAGCCTAGAGTTCAGCTTTAAAGCAACTATGTTACCAAAAAAAGCCTATAAAAGAAGAGTCGTACTCACCTGTGCCTCTGATTATTGTGCTCTTGCAGAGCTACACCATATGAAGAATCTTCAATATCTGACACTTCCAGGTGTGTTGGGTGCTGGCATTGGCCACTATGTGCTTCCACCCCCTGGTTACTATCTCACTGTTGTGTGTCCCCCTGCAGAGCGGTAATGATGTAGCAGAGGACTTGGGCACCTGACACATTAGTATTATTATTATACAGGATTTATATAGCGCCAACAGTTTGCGCAGCGCTTTACAATATAAGAAGGACATTACAATCACAATACAATTCAAGACAAGATGGTAAGGAGGGCCCTGCCTGTCAGAGCTTACAACATAAAATGTTGGATGTTGAAGAGTTTTCTGCTGTTGTAACTATACACAGTTTAAAGATAGGAGAGACAGGCAAGTATTTTTGACTTACACTTTTTTTTTTGGTGACAGAGTTTTGGGGCTTTAATTGGCTGGGTCAGGACCATTTTATTTAGACATGTGCACTGCAAAGAGATTTGTTTTCTGATGAAACAAATGAGAGCGAAAAACGTTTCCATTGGTTTCATCAAAGAAAACACATTTTTCTGCCGTTCCGGATTCTGGGGCAACGAGCCTCCAAATCAGAAACCGCACAGTGAAAATGCAGAATGATGCCGCGTGTTCTGCGCTTGCGCGCTGCTATCCTTGAGTGTATCTTGGTATACACCAAAATGGCGGTGACCGTATGTTCGGGCGCTGCCATCTTGGTGTACACCGAGATATACTCAAAGATGTCGGCACGCCTGCGCAGAGGCACTGGCGGCCGATATGGCCACG